TATTTTAATTTTTACATGTTCTCTTCTGATTTTGTTCATTGGTTTACATATTTTTACCTAGCTGTCATTAACAGGTATAGTTGATTTTATATTCTGCCTAATGTAATGGAATGCAAATGCAGTGGGAATAGGAATTTTATTCTATTTTGAATATATTTCCAGCATCTTGAATAGTGACTGGCACAGAGAAGGTGCTCAATAAAAGTTTACTGAATAAATAAATGAATGAATTTGCTTCAGAAGTATTTCTTTTCAATATACTTTTAAGCTAGGTGTGGTAATTCCAGCACTTTTGGAGGCTGACATGGGAGGATCTCTTGAGGCCAGCAGCTTGAAACCAACCTGGGCAACAGAGCGAGACCTCGTCTCTACAAAAAATAAAAAAAAATTAGTTGGGCACAGTGGCACGTGCCTAACTACAAGAGAGGCTGAGGTGGGAGGATAGCGTGAGCCCAGAAGTTGAAGGCTGCAGTGAGCTATGATCATACCACTGCACTCCAGCCTCCGCACCAGAGTGAGACTCTGTCTCTAAAAAAAACCTGAAAAATAAATAAATATGCTTTTAAATTCATCAAACATATTAAAATGTTTTGGCATGGGTAAAGAGTACCGTTGTTTTTCCCATAGCAATTCTATTAATTCTTCTGAAACTTATATTTACTAGTCTTTAAAAAGTGACAGCTTGGAAGAAAATGCACTGTTACATTTCCTGGAAATAATTAAGAAAGTTGTTATTTGTGTCATGTCAATTTGGGAGGAACACAATGACGGGTGTTTTAGAGTTATTATTTTTAGGCTATGTTCCTTGATTTTTTTTTTTTATATTTGGAACGATATAATGAAAGGAACAGCACAAGCTGAGTGTGGTTGGGAAGTACCTGGAAAGATATTATTATAATTTAAAATGGTCTTAGTAATTGAAGGAGTGTGAAATGTGGTCAGAGTAAAATGCAGTGCGGTTACTTGTTGCTAGGAGGAAAAAACAGATTACCGTGATGTATAATGGAGACTTATAGACAAATATGGCTGAAAATTCAAATTTCAAGAGTATGGTAAACCCAACTGGAATAAGAAATGTTAGTAGAATGTGTTAGGAAGAAAATATGTGATATTGAAAGACCTAATGGCAGAATGTTATGTAAGTGTTGGGATCAGAGTAGTGACTAAACTTAACTTCTAGGACAGAGGTTACAAACTGGTGTCTCACAAAACCATCCCTGATGGGTTTTGTTTGAGCTGAGAGAGATAGAGAGGAGAAGAAAAAGAGAGAAGGAAAGGGAAGAAGTAAGGAAGAAGTTAGTTTCCAACCTTTAAAAAGTGGTAGTTTTGACATAAAATCTAGATTTCCAGGTCTCTTGAAAACCTGAAAGTTTGACAGTACTGTGTCATTGAGTGACTAGCCTGTCACCGAGAGACTAGTGCTGAAGAACAGCTGCCCACTTAAACTGGGGTGGGTCCTGTCCAGTCCTCCAAGGTCCCCATGACTTCCTAGCTCCAAGGAACTAAGACCAGGTTTGGTTAAGGTTCTTTCCCTGGCGATCGTTTTTCCCATACCAGTTCCACACCTGCTGTAATTGCCGCCTATTCACCCCGTAAGTAATGGAGATGGCTGAACGCGTGACACCTGACATGGGAGAGATGCACACAACAGCAATTAATCAATCACGTACACTCACAGCCTGGGGAAAGAGGACACTCCATGCCACCCAGGGCCACACGGGGGTTACACACAGGAACACAGTGAACAAGCAGGTGCTCTGGGAGGAAGGCTCTGCAGTATCAAAAGGGTGAGGTGACCCTTGGTTCTCATGGGAAGATATGGTTGGCTTATTTGAATAATTCCACGGGCTGGTAGGAAACAGAAACTCACTACTCGGGGGTAAGCAGGAGCTACACCTGGTTCCCTTGAACAGAAGGGTTGTTTGGCTGGGGAATCTTATCCATGGCAGCAGAATAGAGAGGGGAACTTGCAGTGAGGCCATTCAAGGCCCTCCGAATTTCACCAGATATCAAGCCAGCACATGTAGGACGTTAGTTTTAGGCCTTACACGGAAATACCCTGCTTCACTCGTTTGACTTGCTTGCCAAGCCCCTGTGCTTACTTACATGGAGCCCCTGTATCTAGGAGGAGAGACTCTGAAAGTTTGTAGAAATTGAAATACATCTGCAAGGATAGTTGTATAGTTTTCTTCTTTGAAGATTAAAAAGAAACACAATGAACAAAATCCAAGAAAATGTTATTTTTTTAATGCTCTTCTGCCGAGAGTGGGTAACCTCTAGGATCTTTTAGAGATTTTTTTATACACAAAATGGTATTCAAGTTGGTATTAAGAAAAACTTCATGACAGGATCGATAATGAAATAAGTTACCAAGGAAACATTTATTCATTCAGCCAATGTTTTTCCATTTGTTTAAAAATGTTTATTAAACACATACTGTATCAAATGTTAAGTCTTTAAAAACAATGACTCATTTTCTTCCCTCAAAGAGCTTACTCTATGCTTGAAGAGACAGAAAGCTACATTACAGCTGCTATTCAATGAGGTTGGTGCTATTAAGGATATAAGCAGAAAACACAAAGAAAGGAAAGGGCATCATGACTGCTTGGAGGTTTAAAATTTTTTCTTTTTTTTTTGGAAAGGATCATACTCTGTCACCCAGGCTGGAGTGCAGTGGCACAATCATTGCTCACTGCAGCCTCGTTCAACTCCTGGGCTCAAGCAGTGCTCTCGTCTCAGCCTCCCAAGTAGCTAGGACTACAGTCATGAGCCACCATGCCTGGGTAATTTTTTTAAAAAAAATTTTTGTACAGATGGGTTCTTGCTGTATTGCCCAGGCTGATTTCGAACTCCTGGCCTCAAGCAATGCTCCCTCCTGGGCCTCCCAAAGTGCCAGGATTATAGGCAGGAACCACCATGCCCAGCCAAAATTAAAAAAAAAAAAAAATAGATTGTTTGGGATGACACAAGCATAATCTTAAAGGCGAGAAAAGTCATCTCTCAGGGTCTTTCCAGGTTCAGTATTTCTGAAATCCTGATTATGAAAATTAGTACAAGCCAGGTACAGTGACACATCCAGTGTTTCCAAAATTTTTTTGATAGGTGAAGTCTTTTTAAAAATATTTTCTAACGTATGTTTTAATATTAGAGTTAGGACACTGTGAAATCACCTTGAGAAGTCAGGAACCCAGCAGGAAACAGATGGGTCATTCGAGGAGAGTTTAATAAAGAAATGGTTTACAAAGGTGTGGATAGAATTCAGAGAAATCACGAGAGATACTGCAGTACCCTGAGGCTGGCCAACGGGGAGAGAGCCCTGCTGGTTCTGACGGGGAAGGGAAAGAGGTGGTTACAAGCACTTGAAGAGGGAGAGCTGTGGGGAGAGGACCTCCTGATAGGAGCTGCGGCCGGCCATTGGATGAGCTACAGATGTAGGCACTCCATGGGGACAACTTCTTTGTTTTGATCCCCTGCTGGTGTGTTTTTTGGCTAAACTCAATGGGAAGCCAGAGGTAAGAGAGTCTATTGATTCAGGTCATAGAGTCAGCCTCCTGAGGCACAGAAAAGGGCAGAGAGGAGATCTGGAGGAGATCTGGAGACAGATGATATGCATACATATACATATACATACATACATACACATACACACACACACATACACATACATGCACATGTAATTAAGGACTGATTATGTTGGAAGAGTAAACCAGCTTTTAGTTCTCATAAGTTTTAAACAGTCATTGAAAAAGATTATCTGAATTACCTGTGAATAATATCCCAGGTATGTTTCCTTTTTCTGTTCATTTTTTGGAGAACAGAGAATGAGGAAAGACAACTTCTACAACCAAATTTTTTTAAGCTTATGAACAACAGAAATTTATTTCTCACAGTTCTAGAGGCTGGAAATCCAAGATCAAGGCATAGCACATCTGGTGTCTGGTGGGGGCCCATTTCCTGGTTCATAGACGGTTCCTCGCTGTCTCCTCATATGGCAGAAATGGGCAAACAAGTTCCCTTGGGCTTGTTTTTTAAAAAAATTTACAAGTAAAAATTGTATATATTTATGGTGTTCAACATGATTTGAGAGAGAGATATATTGCGTAGAATGGCTTAATCAAGCTATTTAACATATGCATTACTTCACTTATATACCTTTTTTTGGTAGCGAGAACAGTTTACTCTCTCAGCAATTTTCAAATATACAATATTTTGTTATTAACTATGGTCACCAAGACGTATAATAGAGCCCTTGAATTTATTCATCCTGTCTAATTGAAATTTTGTGTCACTTGACCAATATCTTCTTTTTTTTTTTTCTTTTGTAATTGAGATTTTATTGGTTATGCTGAGGATCAGTACAGACATTTTCAATTTGTACACAATTCTTAACATACGTACCGAAAATCTAAAAAGCCATTTATTTTAATTCTTTTTAAAAGTTATTCCAGTGACTTTCCAGCTTAAAATTTGGAGGCAAATTTTCCCTAAGAGGGTATCAAGTACCAGTATCTTCAAATGTTGATAAGCTGTTACGTAAGTCCCACCAATTCACAATTTATTATTAT